ACAAATGTATGGGTCACACTCATTTCTGAACGACAATCAGTGTGAGCGTAACTACAGCATAGCGATTTTATTAGTGTGAATTTTTACTTGAGTATATTCACCTTAAACTATATTGGGGACAAAACAAATGTGGGCAAAGGGATGGGTCGGTTTTGTACTCTCTATACACCGTGATTGACACCGCGATAGTCTTGATCATTAAACGTCAAACCAATAACGCCACACATTTTGACGAGAACTACATTGATGGGTATATTCAATGCAATGTCAAACATAGTCGTCATTGTGAAACAATAATTATTATTTGAATTTTAAATAAATAAACATGTTTCGATTCTGCCAAATAAAATTGTGCAAATATGCTGCTGGCACACAAGACAAAAAAATTGCTTTCTTTTGGTAGGTTACACCCGTATTTAAAAAAAATTGTTTTTCTTTCATTTTCAATTGAGTTGTATGAGAGAAAATTACGGTTTTATACTAGGGGATAGACACAAGATCTAAGATACGTTCGTTTTTCAAAATACTTAATTGATTTTGTGTAGAGGTATTCAGATTCGTGAAGATTCATTGAGATTTGAAGGGATTTGAAGAGATTTGTAAAAATCTTACTGATTTATTTGACCTTTTTGACAAGTCAGCCATTTTGATTTGAGAAGATTCATAAGGATTCATAGAGATTCAAAAGTATTTGAATTTGCTCGAGATTTGAGATTCCTACAGATTTGAAAAGATCTAAAAAGATTCAAGTTTTAAATGTTGTGTCTACCCCCTAGGTTTTATATGATATATTGGAGTTTTCATAATTAAAAAAAAAACACAAAATGTTAGATTCAAAATAAAAACTGGTTCATGGCAGAATTGTTTTTTTAATTTTGCGGACCATACTGAGAAAACGCTTGCGTTCGAACAGAAAACTACACTGAAACCGAAGTCGATTTGACATTAGCTGTCAAACCGGTAAGATGAACAAGTGCGTTTGTAAAGTGAGCGCGTTCACTTCGTGTCAGTAGGTTTTGGACGAATTTCATTTTACAAATGATGTTGTTGTTAGTGTAATGATACCCCCGCGGTGATTAATTTCCGAAAAGCGAAGAACTTTATTTTGCCCATCACATTTGTTTTGAAAATGATTATACTCAGCTTGAAAAAATCAGAAATGTTTGTGACATCTACCAAATAAAGTAGAAATGTCAGACTTTGCTTTATTTTAGTTGAATTTTTTCGCTATCTTCCGAAAAAGGCGGATATTTCAACTTTTTAAAGCATACAAGTGCAATGATAATAATCGAAGTAACCGAAGTAAAGTAGAGTTCGATGTTTCTGCTTAATTCCATAGATGTCACGAGTTTTTCTCCTCTCATTCTTTACTAAGTAGGTAGAATGAGTTTTTTAAATCCGATCTCCTAAACGTGGGTGTGTAGGAAATTGGACTTTTTCAAATAAAATTCCAATCCATTTTGCAAATTCGGACATTTCTTTTATCTCCATCTAGAAATGTTGGACTATTTATCCATAAAAAAAAATGTTCAGATGAAAAATTAAATGGATGTGCTGCGAGGTTCATAAAGAGAAAAGGAGGATTAAAAACAGTCAGCTCTCATATACGATTCAATCAACAGAATGAAGCTTTGCATTCGATGTGCTTATGCAGTGAATGATAAATAATTCGTATTCGTGTGTACATCGTGTATATTATGTATATCTACATGAATATTCTTCTGCCATATTTATGAAACATACCAAATATTCACCGTTTTCACAGAATATACACGGTATGTACTAAGAAAGATATGTTGTCGGTAAGGTCGAATCTTTGTTACCGATAGTGAATTCGAGGTATATATTCCATGAATTTCGTAAATACTTTGCCAATTTCTTGAGCATTTTGTATAATTAGTGTATATGGTGTATATTTCGTGAATAAAATAAACATAAAAAGCCTCAAGCCCAACGTTGTTCAATTTCTGAAGTGTTAAAACAATAAAATCACTTTGAAAGTACTTACATTGCACATTTGTTTGCATCATTATCATTGAAATGGTTAGCATAGATAGGCGAATCATCAACATTTTGACGAAAAATTGTTTCATCAATTTCTCCATGGCTTCTGAACAAATTCGCTGATACTCGGTGTCATCATGATGGTTGCGATAAATGTGGCGAGTCCGAAAAGCAACCAAAGAGTGCAACATTATATCGTTGATTCGATAGTATTGGCATCAAAAAAGTATAACACTCAACGATGATTTATCGAAATAATGTGATTCAATTTTCACTCATATCTAATGAAAGACTGCCTTGTTCACTCCATTAGAGTGAAAAACAGTATTTCCAACTTTTCTTGTACAGAATATGAAACGCAAGTTTGAACTCCTTTTCCTGACAATATTTTTTCTTCTATTGAGCACACCACTCAACGACCCAGCTTCGAATAAATAATTGACATTCGCCAGATCCTTATATAGGCAATCAGAACACATTGCTTTGCTTTGCTTTGCTTTGCATTCATTACTCATGAAATAACCTCGTGCAGCTTGGCGTCATTTCCTCCACTTTCATATGTTTGCATTGATGTTTGAACCAGAGTTTGACTCAGGCGACAGATATATGCTTTAGCATAGAAAAAATATCCGCATATTTTTTGGTTTGTCCACTCTCAGTATATAGCTTCATCGAGTATCAGCAGCAGCACGCACACTGAACATAGTAATATAGATTATAGAACGGTTTGTTTACAAAGAAAAAAAAATTGTTCATAAACAAAATCTTCCAGAGTTGTACAGCGCAATGTATTTGGACGGCAGCAATGCTGTCCTATGTTAAGGTTTGGCGCTGTATAGTTCTAGATTTTGTTTATAAACAATTTTTTTCTCCGTAAACAAACCGTCCTATACTACCACGTTCAGTGTGCGTGCTGATACTCGATGAAGCTGGGTGCCGTTATATGCTGAGAGTGGACAAACCAAAAAATATGCGGATATTTTTTCTATGCTAAAGCATATATCTGTCGCCTGAGTCTTACTCTGGTTTGAACTTCGACAAGTAAGCTTCTACAATGGACGTTAAATGCGAGTGGAAACGCCACAGAAATGACCCCAATATGGTCGATTATTGATCGAACTACTTTATTACGCAAGAAGTTTGCAAATGAAAATTATTCTCGTTCTTTATTCATTCGTTCGTATATTCTGAATGGTAGAGAAGATTTCCTGAGCATCGTTCAACTTTCGCTTTATAAATTCGCATGCTTTCGATAAATAAGCATGCACATTGCACACTATTGCCAAACAGAACATTTAGACACTTTCTGATTCGAATTATTGAAGACCAGCTTCTCTGATCGGCTGTAAAAATAGATAGGAAACGTCAAACAAGAACAATAAAGCGGCACCTGGCGACTGGTTGGAGAAATCAGGGAGTGTAACTCTGAGGAGGAGGAATGGTGAGGAGGTGAATGAGAAGGAGGAGAGCGCTGAGGAGGTTCCTCCTCCTTACATGAGGAGGATATGAAAATTACCAAAATTTAGGCATATAAATTTATTTTAAACACTTCTATTGATTTTGATCGTAGCTTTTCATCGTTGGCATTCGTTCCAAATCAATAAAAGTGTTTAAAATAAATTTATATGCCTCAATTTTGGTAATTTTTATTTCCTCCTCATGTGAGGAGGAGGAACCTCCTCAGCGCACTCCTCCTCCTTATTCACCTCCTCACCATTCCTCCTCCTCGGAGTTACACTCCCTGGGAGAAATAGAGAATAATGCACATAGTTTGCTGTAACAAGTATGCGTCTGTGTTAGTTCAAACGTTGAATGTACGACACATTGCACTTAGTCCTCAGGCGACGCTGTATTGTTTACTATTTTCATGATCAGAAAGGCTGTTTAAGACATTCGAAATGAAACTGGAAAAGATTCATACAAGCGATGAGGATACGTTGCATTGCGTTCATTTTCATGATTACGAATGTCAATCAACAAAACAACGAACGATAGAACGATAAAAAATATGGGCATAACT